GGACTGTCCCTCCCCCGCCCCCGGGAACTAGCCTGTGCGGGAAGTGGGGGCAGGGAACCACGTCCAGCACTGTCCTGACCCAGCTCACTCGGCACCCAGGAGAAACCAAACTGGGGTGGGGGCGGTGTCCACCTGGTGGGCAGGTGTCACAGGCACAGCCGGCCCATCTTTGGTCCCAGAGCTAAGCACGCACGCACGCACACACACACTGCCTCCAGGCAGCCATGTGGGCTTTAAGAAGGCCCAACTTGGTCCTCATCACACCTTGAATCCTCCACCATCAGACCGGTCAGACTCATCCCCAGCCCTCCCCCCTCGGTGACAGCGAGACACCTGGGCCAGTGTCCATGGCCTCACCCTGCCCCCACCCCCTGGAGGGACAATTTACCTTTCGGAGCCGGTCCAAGATATTAATTAAGATAAATCTACCTCAATTTGGAGATTCTCTTATTGTGTAATTTATCAAAATTATGTTAATTATTTCTGTAGGGCAGCAAAATTATTACCTCTTTTGTGTCTGATTTGTATTAATATTCATAATTTAATAATTCAGCATCCGGCCATCTGGCCCGGGAGCAGGCCCCCCGTCCCTCTGGCCAAGCCAAGCCCTCTGCAGTGTCCCTAGTGGGCATCCCCGGGGCACCTGCCGGCCCAGCCCCCTTGCCTCCCTGTGGCCTGGCTGGGGGACGCTGGCCCTGCGGCCCCCCAGGCCAGCGCCCTGTCCACGCCAGGTCGGCCCACGCCCCGCAGCCCCGCTTGGCAGGTGAACGAAGCTGAACTGACATTTTCCACACTCTGTGAGTTTTACACTGTAATTTGACATAATTAATGCCTACATTACTGCTGATAATTTAGCTAGTTAATTAAACTCGGAGGAGATAATTAAGGCAAGGCTACTGCTTGGATTGCTAATTGTTTTTGTCATTATTTCAGGGGGCCGACAGCTGCCGGCTGAGTCATCCTGTTTTGTCAGCTGATGGGTCATGTGACACAGGGGTCCCCCAAGGCCCCCCACTTCCAGGGAGGGAGGCACGCAGCCGGCTACCTGGCTACTGCCTGGAGGCGGGCCAAGCCTGGCTGGCTGGTCCGCCTCCAACCCTCCTCTGCAGCAGGACGTCCACCCTGGGGGGCCCAGCCTGAGGTCACACAGAGGTCAGCAGCATCGAGGGGAGGGAGGAGGTGCCCGCTCAGCCCTGGCAACCAAGCCCCAAGGGTGCCTGAAGCACCTGGCAGTATCCCCTGCTTCTGCAGTGGTCAGATACAAGGTAGGACTTCCTGAGCCTGCTGGAAGCCAGCTGCATGGTCCCTTGGGAGGTACTGTTACCGGGAGATTGTGGGAGCAGTCTGGGGAGAGAGATGAGGGCTGGGGGGGGGGCGGATAGAAATACGAGAGAGAGAGAGAGAGAGAGAGAGAGAGAGAGAGAGAGAATAGAGAAACAGAAAGACGGAGCAGGAGGGAGAGACAGAATGAGAAACTAGATGGGGAAGAGACAGGCAGAAGAGGTATAGAGACGTGAGGGGCAGGGGGGAAATGAGAGACAAAATGAAAAACAGAGGGGGGGACAGAGAGGGAGACAGAGAGGAACAGAAAAATGAGGGAAGAGACAGACAGACAGAAAAGTGCGGGGGTGGGAGGAGGGAGACAGGAGCAGCAGAGAGGAGAGAGAATAAGAAACAGACACAGAGACAGAGTGAGAGAGAGGAAGAGGGGGCAGACCGAGGGGGGAAGGAGAGCTGAGAAAGATCCAGAGAGGGGCCGGCCTGCCCCCGGGCTCTGACGGTGGCCAAGGGGACAAGGACATTTGAGGATGTTCTCAGAGGCTGCTTTGCTCTGTACATGCCAGACCCTGGCCCACCCACCTGCCCATCCGCTCACCCATGCTGGTGGCTGCCCAGGTGGATGCGGGGCTAGGAGAGGGAGGGAGGACCTTGCAGCGGGGTGTGCGGGGTGGAAGGCTCAGGGAGGCCATCCCAGGGACTGTAGCACAGCCTCACCTGGGGCGGGTGGCCACTGGACTGTGGGCAGCGCCTTCCTGGCACTGAGCTGGCTCACCCCTGTGATGGCACTGTGAGGCCATCTGCTCATGGTGACAACCCCTGGCAGTGGAAGAGTGTCCTCCCCAGGACTGTGCCATCTCTCTCGGCGTCCCCTGTGCCGTGTCCAGACTGCTGAGCTCGGTAGGGATTGGGTGGCTCATCTTCGAAAGGTGACTGCCAGGCCTTTCTTCCTACCCACATCTGACTCCGGATGCTCACTGGGGCCAGTCCATCTTCCCAGCAGCATGCAGACTCCACGGAGGGATGGTAGGGGGGACTGCCCAGGAGGTGCCCTGGCCGGAGTCGAACCCGGGCCCCCAGTAAAGAAGGCCAGGATCCTAAGCTTCAGGCGCCTGACCTGCACACAACCATGTCTTCTTCCTAATGGGAGGCTCCGAGGGGTGCCTGTGACCCAGGGCATCCCCTGCCAAGTATTCTACTCTACCCCCTTCCCTCCCCACCGGCCTTAGTCTTAACTTGGGGCAGCCCACTGGCCTTTTCGTGCCCCGTGACTCTGCCACAAGCATCCAGCAGGGATAGCCTTCAGACAGAAGTGGTCTCTGGGCAAGCCTCGAGCTTCCTCTAGCCGGCCGAGTGGCTCCCTCTGGGATGCCCTGCCCCCCATACACACGATTTTGCAGGACACGGCTCTTTGGCCCTCCCAGGCTTGGCTGCAGTCAGGGCCCCCGGGTGCCAAGGTCACAGCCGGGTCTACCCCCTCATGCCCCGGGAACAAAACAGAGAAAACCCTCACAACTGGACCGGTCAGCAGTGTGGTGGTCAGCAGAGGCCAGACCGGGACCAGGGGGGTCTCGCCTTGCCTGGGCCCCGCAATCAACGACTGTGGGAGCAGCAGCCAGGAAACCAAATGCAGGTACTTGGGGCGCTGTGTCCAGGGCACCCGGGTCACCGGCACCAGGTGTTCACGGTGTTCCACTCACTCCCTGACCGGGTGAGCAGTGAGGAGTGGCCGTCGAGGGTGCAGGTGTGAGTCCCTCCCTGTGTCTGGAGGACAGAGCGGGGTGACAGCCGATGACCACAGTGAGCCCAGTGGACTGGCAGGCCCGCCCACGAGCAGCCGTCTCCACCATGCCGAGACCAGGAGAAGGTGCCCAGCTACCAGGGCGGACAGACGGACAGGGGTCCTGATGGGAGGTCCTAAGTGGCACTGGGGGAGGCATGCGGACCCGAATCCGTCTCCGAGGGGGGCCCATGAGCAAGCTGCCACAGGAGACGGCCCGCCTCACTCGCTGAAAGCACCTGTTGATGACCATCCAAGACGACAGCCTCAGGTGAGGATCGCACCTGACCACACGGACACGTCCTTGCAGCCGCACATGACCGACCAAAAAGCCACCAGCCACGCCGGTGGGGGCTGCGGCCGGGCCACACTCTTCTCAGGTATGCAGGCGGGTGCCGGGCACAGTGGAGCTGGGCGGTGGACAAGGACGACCGGAGAAGGACGGACGCCTATGCAGGGGTGTGTGTGTGTGTGCACACCCCTTAAGAGATGCCCTGGAGTCCACGGTCCTCCTGCCCAGGAGCTCTGCCTTGTTCCTTTTGCAGACCGAGACCTTCAGAGATGGGCGTGGGCCTGAGACCTTCAGAGATGGGCGTGGGCCCACAGCCCAGGTGGGTCACTGTGGGGAAATGCTGAGGGGGGGGGGCAGGCACTCCACCAGCTCACCCTCACAAAGGACAGCCCCCCTCCCTGTTCCTTGGTCTCCCTGTCTGCAAACTGGAGCTGGGCCCACTCGCCAGGACCCAGGTCTGCTTAATGGCACTCTGCCTCCCCCTCGTGGCCAAGTCACCACATTGCCGCCATTGGCTGCCCAAGGGCCCCGGGTGTCTCAGGACTGGCCAGCCTGTCCTCCTGACATGCCGTGACCGCAGGCCACTGCTCAGCACCCCCTGGGCACCGAGTCTCTCTGTCCCTGCCCTGCCGACCATGACAGCATCCATGCCCTCCCCAGCTTCCAGTGCCCCACACACTGGCACCTTCAGCTTCTAAACCACACCCTGGCCCTGCCCTTCTGGCTGACCCCTCTGTCCAGGTCCCTCTGCTGCCCACGCTAAGACAGGGGCGGCCTTGGAACCACAATTATCCCAAGCCCCCCTGGGACTGTCCCCACCTCCCTTCCAAAGTGAGGGTCTCCCGTCCCAGGACAAATGAAGACCGAGGAGGACAGATTGGTGGCTCGGTGTGGACAGGCCCCAGCTGGTGCTGATGCTGGCTCTGAGGCCCGGCAGCCCCATCTCAGGGTGGGATGGGGTGGGGCCTTGGGGCTGAGCAGACACGGGCTCAACCTGTGCCAAGCCTGCATCTATACAGAGACCTTGTGAAAGGATTCTGCTGTGGGTCACCCTCGGGCAGGTGTGTGCTGAGCCTATAGGAGCAGGGTCCTTAGAAGGGAGGTGACCAGAGAGCTAGTGGGAGGCAGAGGAGAAATTAGGATGGTTACTTAAGGCCCAAAGATGCCTGGAGCCACCAGGATTCAGGAGAACTGAGGAGGGGGCTCTCTGAGAGGCTGTGGGCCCAGACGCCAGCCTCCAGAACCTGGGATGTGGATTCCCACCACCCTGAGCCCGTTTTTACCCTTCTGGGCACTGACATGGTGCCTTGCAGTGATGGGCCCCAGTGGGGTGAGTCTTCAGCCCTCACCCCCCACCCCATTCTCCATGGAGGGTCCACTGGAGGGGAAGCCCAATTCCAGCTCAGCCCCCATGTCTGCCCCTGACCCCTGGTCCATGCTCATGCAGACTCGGTACAGATCTCAAGGTCCTGGGGGTTAGCCCTGGGGGCTCAGCCTGTCCCTCTGCCCACCACGGGCCCTGCTCATCTCCTGTGGGCCCAGTCTGGTCATGGCGCCCGCTGCCCACTGCACTATGGGTGGCTGGGTCCAGCGAAGAGTGCTGGGCCCAGGGGACGTGCGAGGGCCCCAGGGTGAAGGACATGAGGCAAGCACAAGCAGCCCTTTTATTGAGGTACCAGACCCGCAGAGGCCCACGCAGGGTCTTCCGTCATCCCCCTGCCCTGCCCCCTCAGCTGCCGCTCATTCCGGGGTCTGGCTTTTGCCCTTGGGGGACCAGAAGCTGCCCATGCGGAACCTGGACTTCTTCTTCTGGATGCTGCCCCGTCTCTGGAGATCTGGGGGCGAGTGGACAGTGAGACCGTGCTCACCCACCTGGCTGCCCGTGCACCAAATCCCCCTTTCCAGAACCTCCTTCTCAGCCTCGTGCAGAGCACCCAGACGGGCACCTCTGGCCCAGGACACTGGGGGGCTGCAGCAGGAGCTCATTAGGGCCTGTCCACCCTGACCTGGAGGTACCACCCCACCCGGAAGTGGCCTCCCTGCCTAGCCAACTCCACTCAGAGGTGGCCCTCTGCCCACCTGGTGCCCTCACTCAGAGGCAGCCCCCACACCTGCCCAGCACCTCCCCCTGGAGGTATCCCCGGCCACTGGCCGCCCCCACCCAGAGATTTCCCCCCATCTGACTACCCCCACCTAGAGGTGTCCCCCTCCATGCCTGGCGCCCCCTAGAGGTGCCCTGCCCCAGAGACGCAGTCAGTACCCAGATTCTGTATCA